TCGTTCAGGGGGTCTTTGTTCTTTTCCAGCCATCCGGTGACGTTGTAGTCGACAGTGCCGGCATAGTGTAACAGAGCAAAGTGAGCCTCAGCTTTGCCTTTGGCAGGTTTGGGTTTCTCAAAAGCCTTGGTTTTACCAAGATGCTGGTCGTACAGTTTGTTCTTGAAGGTGATATCTGATGCCTTGGGGAACATGCACTCCTCTTCAAGGATGGAGAAGATTCCCATTGGCTGTCATGATGAAATGATAATTAAAAAACAAAGCTTAAAGTCATAAATAGTTTTCTGTGTGCATTAATAAACTGCATAGCTCACCTTTTCAATCAGCTCAATGCAGGCAGCCAAGTCCATACCAAAGTCAATGAACTCCCATTCAATTCCCTCTTTCTTGTACTCTTCTTGCTCCAGAACAAACATGTGGTGGTTGAAAAACTGTTGCAGCTTCTCATTGGTGAAGTTGATGCACAGCTGCTCCAAGCTATTGAACTTGAGATGGGAAAGAAGATGCAATTTCAAACTTTCATTGTGCTGTTTCACTCTGTAAACCTGAGTGCAATGTGTGTTTTAACTTACATCGAAGATTTCAAACCCGGCAATATCCAGGACACCAATGTAGAACTGTCTGGACTGCTTGGTGGCCAGCATCTCATTGATTCTGATGACCATCCACAAGAACATCTTCTCATAGACAGACTTGCAGAGAGCACTGACATTATTGTTCACCTGATTTTGAAAAAACAACAAAAATGAAATATTATTATCAATAACCAAAGGTTTTAGGGGTTAAGCTGTATGGACAGTGTGAGAAGTTTTTACCTGAGGCACGGTCTGGCTTTTAGTCACAAATTCATTTCCGACTTTGACCCTTGGGTAGCACAGAGCCTTCAGGATGTCAGCTGAGTTCAGGCCCATGAGGTAGGCGATTTTATCGGCGACTGAAAAGAATAGCAAACCATGAAAAGTCATAATATTTATTTTACATAGAATAGGGTTACATGACTCAACTTGGCCGCTGCCGATCCTCATATATGCACACATATTCTTCCAAATAATTATAATAATGAAGAAAACATCAAGTGTCAACTGTAGTGGATGCCGAAACAAAATACAACTCTTTTCAAAATGAATATATATTTACTTGGAAAAAGCAAACGCTATTTCATATTGAATTTAAGGTAACAGATCTAGAGAAGTAGCAAGCACTTTCTAAACTCAATATCATCAACAAATCTAAAATGTCATTAAAATAAATAATATATCTGAGTGAAAACTAGAAAGCATAAGGAGAAAGTCATCAGTCATTATCAGTCATTCCTCCTGTTGAGCAACATCCTGACAGAGAGCAAAGGAGAGGCTACAGCATGATAATATAATTGCATATAAAGAGAGAAAAACTACCCATAAAATAACTGCAAAATGTCAGGTCCAACCATTACTTTTCAATTTAGTTTCAATTATTTACCAATTGGCAATTTAATACCTGGTTTCAGTGCCCATCCTTCAGCCTGTCATTGTATTAAATGTTCAATGTTGCACAATGTAGATATTGTATTTCAAAGCCTGTATCTGCCCCTACTGAAGAAGAGGCGATGTTATCTTGCACCCCTTATAGGGAGTAAAAAAGGTTTCAATTTATACATTTTCACTTGTTTTCGAGTTTTCAAGTCCCACATACCCTCAGTGCCATCGGGCTCGGCCTGCTCTTCACGCTGCTTCTGCTTGAACTTCATGCCTCCGTGATGCATCACAGATCCAGTCAGCTTGTAAATGCTCATCTTCTCATCAGCAGTGAAGCCCAGGATGTCGATGGCAGTCTAAGAATATTCAAAGAAAGCACATGAACTCTGCACTCTCTGCTTTTGAACGAATAAAGAATATTTTCATTTGATAATTTTCTTACATCAGTTGCAATAAACTCTTCAACGTCATCTATACTCTTGACGGTGATTTCACCCTGACTGATCATGGGATAGTCAAATGGATTGGTGGTGATCAGGAGAGCGTCTGAGAAAAGATTGTGTTTGGTTATTTTTTTAAAGCAAAAATACACGATACAGCAGGTTATAAATGGGCTTGGAAATTTAAAATGTCTGACCCAAGAGCTCGGGTTTGTGGCCGGTCATCAGCTGATAGAAGATGTGGTAGCTCCTCTC